CCCAACTTACAAGGCCCAGGAATGCTTGGATTCCTTTCTTATTCTTGGGTTTCGCGAAACTTTGTATCGCAGCGACGGTTTCCGCGTTCATATTCGCGGTTATCTCATCGAAAGTGTGTCCTAAGAATTTAATTTCCGAATTGAAAAATTCACATTTTTCACGATTCAACCGGAAACCTGCGCTCGACAGTTTCTCAAGGACGTAGTTTATATGAGCGGCATGCTCGTTTAATGAGTTAGACGCGATTAATATGTCATCAAGATAAACAATAGTATACGCGTCGCATTCGGCACCTAATGTTTTTCGCATACATCTAGTAAACGCGGAACCTGATGTCTTTAGTCCAAATGGTAACCGTTTGAATACATAAGTATTATTGTCGAACGAGAAACCCGTGTATTTTCGACTTTTCTTAGACAATGGTATTTGCCAGAAAGCCTGGGCCACGTCGAGTGTCGAAAAATACTTTCGCGATCCAACACGCCTAAAGATCTCGTCGATAGTCGACGGTTGGTCGTGCTCGTTGCACATTCTCTTGTTGAGTTCCCGCGCATCCAGACAAAGCCTGATATCACCTGATTTTTTAATCACGACCACGAGGGGGCTGACGTATTGAGTAGATGCCTTTTCTACGACGCCAGTTTTCTCGAGCTCGCTCAAATGATTTTTTACGCGTTCGCGGTGAATTTCTGGAATAGGATACGGGCGTTTCCGGAACGGCCGATCGTTGCTCATCTCGATATGATGAATATAGTTATTCACGCGTCCCAGCTCTTTTACGAACAATGACGCGTGTTTTTCGAGGATCGTTCCCACGCAATGATCCACGCTGTCCATACTCAACGAGTAGATTTCCGCTGTGAACTTTTGTTCTCCGCGGAATTTGACGAATACTTCGTCCGGTTCGCATTCAATAGTGACGTAATTTGATTTTAAAAAATCTAGGCCTATTATCATGTCATAAGCCAACGATTTGAGAATTATAAATTCACCTACGAAATTCATGTCGTTTAAGGCGAAATTTAACTGTACTCGGTTTGACGCGGTTTGTCCTTTTTCAGAAAACGCGCCTACGATTGAGAATTTTCGTACGGGCACGACGCGCATTTCATGTTTCGCGTCTGTTAACCTGTCAAAAATCTCTTTCGTGATAGCGGATACTTGCGCACCCGTGTCGAGCAAAGCTCGAATTTTTATACCGCCGATTCGTATTTGTACATACGCGGAACCGATGGACAGTCGCTTCGACTGGTCTTCGCGAGTGACCTCGTCCACGTCTTCAAGTATTTTCTTCAACCGAATGGTACCTAAGTGGCGAGGATTTTCCTCCTCATCCACTTTCTCCTCTTCCACGCGTGATTCTACTTTTTTCGAATTCTCGCGTATTTTCGTTTTCTCGTCTCCGTCGCGTTCACTCGCAATTTTGACGATTTTTGACGATTGTTTTTAACTTTCCGTCGGCGCGAATTTTCTTTTCGATTTTTCCGCGCGTCTCGGACTTGCTAAACTTTGCGACGGTCGCTTGAGCCGTGGCTCGTGCCGTCTGTCTTACCTGGTTAGCCGTCGCGATTTTTTCGCCATCGGCTTTGTTTTCCGCGCGAATTTTCTTACGCGAATTCGTCGATTTTCCGTCGGTCTTTGTCTTTTTCGTCGGCGTATCGCGAGCCGATTTTTTTTCGACGACTGGTCCGACCGTCTCCATGCTTTTCAAAATTTTTCCGGTTTTCGCGGATTTAGTCGTAGTCTTCGCGAATTTCGACGCGTTCACCGCGTCTCGCTTCGCTTTATTCTGATTCCTTTTTCTGTCACCCTTTTTGGCTTCGCTCTTTGGCAACGCCGCCAATTTCGGGCAATCCTCCTCCTCTGACTCGCTTTTTCCCGAATCGACCTCCTCCGCTTGTTTTTTGACAGCCGCTAATTTATTTTGCCGGATCGAAAAGGCTTTTCCCGACGCGGATTTGCCCGTTTTCACGGCGTCTTCCTGCTTTTCATTTTTGTCCGGATTTTTATTTAAATTATTTTTATCAACGTTCTTTTCGCTGCCTTTCTTGTACACGGATTCGGATTCATCCGTCTTTGATTTAACGTCCCGCTGATTATTAGCCTTCGGCTTGTTAGTCGCGGTAACGCTATTATTTTTATTCCACGATTTTTTCTCAGAACTTTCGCGTTTCTCGCTCGTGGAATTCTTCGACTTCGCGGACGCGATCTGACGATCTTTCTTGATCTTCTTCTGGCGTTCTCGCTCGATCGCGAGCTCGTCCAGAAGGAGTCACAAATTCTTCGACGTCTTTGACGGTCGTGGGCCTCACTTCGCGCGATATTCACGTTTACGCGAACCGATGCTAAGACCCGCTGACCTCTATTCCCTTTGTTTGAAATTTTACGATGTTTCGGATTAGCCACGCGCTTCCTAAGAAACGAACTTTCTTGCAGCCGAAAACTACGCACACCGCGATTCAGAGAATTTAATAAGGAAAGAGCCTTTGTTGAGACAGGGAAACACAATGGAAAATCACTTCGCACATTCACGAGAATGACTAAACATTTTTGTTTTATATTTAAAATAAAATAAATTTATTTTAAAATTATTATTTATTTTAATAATAAAATAATTATTACTTTTACCTTGAGATACGCACGGATACGTAATCTCAGTGGCTGGTTTAACGTCGTATCTGAAGACACGACGGAACACAAAATAAATCGCACTACAATTACTGAACGCGACAATTAACGCGATTACAATAATATTAAATATGCACAATTAATTATTGCGACGATATCTATATAAGCGCGACAGCAGTGCTCAAGTCCTCGGACAAATGCTCGCTCACCGGCAAGTGCTCTCGAGCCCTGCGCGCTCTCGCTTATATACTGTCCCCACTTCGCTGGGAGACTCCGCCCATAGACTCCGCCTACAGTCAAGTACGCTGCGTTATACCGAGTGTACTTTCGCTTCTAAAATTAATAATAAAATAAAATTAATATAACGCACGCATGTTTCGCGTATATATGCGTTCTAACATAAATAATTAATCAAAATAAAATTAATTCTTGCACTTAAGACGCGCACATTCTGCCTTAAAGTGCAAAACGCTAAATTAAAATAAAATCAACGCTTCTCGCGTAACAGAACAACAGGGATCGCTTCGCCCTGGATAACCGAATAAATTAAATAAACTTAATTAATATATATGCACCTGATTAATGCATCTCCTGCACTAAAGGTGCAATAAACTAAATCTAACTAATTACTACACGAATCGCGCAGAAACGTCAGGGATACACTTCCCTGAGACTAATATATAAAATAAGCATTAATAATTATTTGCACCTCGCGAGTACAATATATTTGCAATAAGGTGCAGCGAACAAAAATCACTTATAATTAACGCAATTAGCGTAATATAGCTAGAGTTATTTTCCCCGAGCTTCAGGAAATAAAATTAAATATTTTTAATGAGTGTACTTAAGTAAGTACACTAAGTGCACACCAAGTGCAGCTGATTAAAAGTAACTAAAAATTCGCGCTACGCGCGCGAAACTCTGTGGGTATGCTTCTGGAAGCTTTCCCACTCGAAATAGACGGTTTTCGTTAAGTGCATTTTTTATGTGCACTTTCTGCACTTTCTGCACTTTTCGTCTAAATCGACTCCAAACTTCGCGAAATGCGAAATCTCGACAAGATACGTCATTTAGATGCCTGCCGAGCAAAAATAGAATTTTCGATAAAAAATTTTTAAACGCGGAGAAAATTTCGCCAAAAGTGAAAATCTCGACAAGATACACCCTTTAGATGCCTGCCGAGCAAAAATAAAATTTTCGATAAAAAATTTTAAATTGCGAAGAGAATTTCGCGAAAAGTGAAAATCTCGACAATATATACCCTCTAGATGCCTGCCGAGCAAAATAAAAATTTCGATAAAAAATTTTTAAATCGCGAAGAGAATTTCGCGAAAAGTGAAAATCTCGACAAGATACACCCTCTAGATGCCTGCCGAGACAAAATAAAAATTTCGATAAAAAATTTTAAATCGCGAAGAGAATTTCGCAAAAAGTGAAAATCTCGACAAGATACACCCTCTAGATGCCTGTCGAAACAAAATAAAAAATTCCGAAAAATTTTACTTAAGTACACTTTTCCAGGTGCATCTTACACACCTCGTGCACTTTTTCCTGTGATCGCTAAAATCACATTCCGCCCTTATAATTAGCCGTTGCTTACGCATCAAAACTAATCTCGGCGCAACATAAATAAATTTTCGCATCTTACTGTATGCGACTTGTGCATCGCTCGCACAGAGTTAAATTAAAATAATCGGAGCGTCTATCTTCGACCTCCTACACCGCCTGATGTTCTCAAACGTAAAATAAATGATCGGGATTTGCACCCGACACGTGCACCTTCTACACTTTGTGCATCCGGCGCACCAGCTAACTCAAAATAAATTAAATAAGCTCGGAACACATTTTTCGTAGCGTCCCGATCGTCAAACATAAATCAAATTAAATAAGATAATCGGTTAACGAGAATCTAAAGACGAGCTTCTGCACGTAGCGGGTGCACTATTTGCACTATGTGCATATCTTTGCTCGTGGATGACAGAAATGTCTAAAATTCGTCTCCCGCGTGTTCGTGACGCTAATAGAAGAGCAAATAAAAAAAATAACATAAATCAAATAAATTAAAACGAGTCGTAGTAATCGATCTCGTCCGAGCGCGGTAATTAAACCTACGCTAATACTTATCGGCTACATTAATCTTAAACTAACCTAGACTTATCTATACACACTATTCTTAATTCTAAGTGTATATACAGTTTTTTCACAGCCGTTCGATGATCTCAATCCCTTTATGAGGGTCCTGGTTGAGGTTCGACTGTCTTCCGTGCGGCACGACGAAGTCGGTATACCGGCGTTCTCTTGCCGTCCGCGCTGGTCTGGTATGTCACGGCCTCTGTGACCATTCTCACCGGTGATTCCCTCAGCGTCGGCGATGGCGAATTCTCAACGGCGATGGTCGGCGAACCTGCCGGTCGCAAGGTTAGGTTCAGCCCCGGCCAAAGAACCCGCCAGGGCTGCCGAACCCACGAGTGCGGTCGACAGCTCGTCCGGATGGACAAAGATCGGCCGCGCGGGCAAGCCGGCAGCAAAAGCAAAGAGAGGTGCCAAGACACCCGCCCCAGGCTCCACTCCAAAGGGGGTTGCTAAGGCACCCGCACCAGCCCCTGCTTCAAAGGGGGGACAACCCCCCAAGAACGGAGCCAGAAAAGGGGGAAATCCCCCAGCAAAGGGCACCGGCGGGAAGGGCACGCCTAAGGCCCAACCCGCCAAGCCCAGGAGAATCCGAATCCCACCAAACACGCGGCCGTACTTATTAATGCGGCCCCGCCAAGGGGGAGGAGAGAAGGCCGTGGCCCTAAGGGAGGCGATTGTCGGGGTACGCCCCAACATAAAGCTTGCCGAGCTTGGCATCGCCTCCCTCAAACCAAAGAAGGCCGCCGGAGGGGACATACTTTTCGAAGTCCCCGGGGAGTAGAGCGGCGTTAAGGCCGACAGGCTCGTGGAGGCCCTTAGGCCGCTCCTAGAGCCCAAAGGGGTGAGGATCACCCGCTCGATAAAGCTCACGGAGCTACGAATTGCCGGGTTGGATGATTCCATCACCCCAGAAGAGGTGCGGCAGGCAATTGCCGTGGCAGGCGGCTGCTCCGCGGGGGACATCTCGATCGGTAAGATCAATCCTCCCCCGCGGGAGGCTAGGGTCGGTCCTGTAGCAGCCGCCAAAAAAGTGATCGATGCGGGCCCCCTGTCCATTGGGTGGATAAGAGCCCGCGTCGAGGCCCTAGTGGCCCGCCCCCTCCAGTGCTACACTTGTCTGGGGGTGAGTCACACAAGAGCCCAATGTAAGGCCGGCGTCGACCGGCGGTCTGTGTTACCGCTGCGGCCAAGCAGGACACATCGCGGCCGGATGTACCGCCAACCCCCATTGCGCGTACTGCGCGGGCGAGGGTCAGAAGGCGGACCACAGGTACGGGGGGAAGGCATGCGCCTCCCTCAGGCCTGAAAAAGAAAAAGGACGGCAAGAAGAAGAAGGGGAACAGGGGGGGCGAAGGCCCTTCCCCCCACCAGCGTAGGAACCCAGGATAAGTGGACCGCTCCGCCGACTCAGGAGCGGCCCCCCAACCCGGAGCCCAATCCAGGCCCGGCAGTAAGCCAGGAGGAGGCGATGGACACCGAATAAGATGACCGACAACCATCGCCTCCTACAGGCGAACTTGAACCATTCCGCCAGGGCGCAGGACCTTCTACTCCAAACCCTGGCAGAGTGGAACATAGACCTGGCTGTGGCGGCCGAGCCGTACCGCGTCCCTGCTAAGTCCAATTGGATAGGCGACGCGGACGGCTCGGTTGCAATCATCGGGAAGAGCAGCGCAGACGCCATCCCCCTGACTCTGCTGAGCAGGGGAGGCGGCTTTGTAGCCGCTAAATGGGGGGAAAATGCCGTGGTGGGGGTGTATTTTTCGCCTAACCGCGACCAGGCCGAATTCCGGGCATACCTGGACCGGGTGGCGACAGCTATACGTCGCCAACTACCCGGTCCAGTGCTAGTAGCGGGGGACCTCAATGCCAAGTTGGCGGAATGAGGTTCCCCGTGACCGACGCCCGCGGCCTGGACCTCGCGGAATGGGGGAATGAGCTAGGCCTCATAATTCTCAATAGAGGCTCAGCTCACACCTGCGTGCGGCACAACGGCGGGTCGATCGTCGATGTTACATTCGGCAGCCCGCCGGTCGCACGCATGGTCAGCGGCTGGAGGGTCATGGAGGGGTCGGAGACGTTATCGGACCACCGATATATACGGTGGAATGTCTCCGACCCGGCCCTGGAACACCAGCCCCCCCCCCCTGGACGTGGAGGCGCACCCCCACCACCCCGCTGGGCACTCAAACGCCTAGCTGAGGACGCCTTGATGGCTGCCGCTTCGGCAAAGGCTCCGGAGCATATACCAGAGCCTGACGCCTGCGACATTGAGAGGGAGGTCACCTGGTTCCGCCTGGAAGCCATGACGCAAGTCTGTGACGTGGCCATGCCCCGGATCCGGGCCCTCCCGCAGAGGAAGGCGGTGTACTGGTGGTCGCCAGAAATCGCGCAGTTGCGCGCGGATTGCGTAAGAAAGCGACACCAGTACACCAGATGCCGTCGCAGGCGTCACACGGAGGCCGAAGCGGCCGCGCTGTATGCTGTGTACAGAGAGGCGAAGAAGCAGCTACAGCGCGCCTTCAAAAGGGCCAAAGATAAGGCCTGGGCAGAGCTCCTGGAGACTCTCAGTGAGGATCCATGGGGGCGCCCCTATCTGATCGTCAGGAAAAAGCTGCGGTCAGGGGAGCCCCCAATTACGGAGTCTCCACCCCCAGGTCCTGGAGGACGTTGTGTCCGCCCTCTTCCCCCACGTCGGGGGCGGGCGTGCCTTCGGGACAACTGGTCCACAACGTACCGTGAACCGACGATCTGGGGGTAACGGAAGAGGAACTGGCCAGGGCAATCCATAGGCTTCGGGCAAAGAACACAGCCCCGGGGCCCGACGGTATCCCTGGCCGAGCCTGGGTCTTGGCCCTTGGCGTCCTCGGGGACCGCCTGAGGGGGCTATTCACGGCCTGCCTCAGAGCGGGGCAATTTCCCTCCCAATGGAAGGAGGCGGGACTCGTCCTCCTACGGAAGGAAGGGCGTCCCCCGGAATCACCCTCCGCGTACTGCCCGATATGCTTGTTGGACGAGGCGGGCAAGCTCTTTAAGCGAGTGCTCGCGGCCCGCCTCAATTGGCACCTATCGACAGCTGGTCCGGACTTGGCCGACTGCCAGTTCGGATTCCGAGAAGGCCGTTCGACGATTGACGCCATCAAGTGCGTCAAGGCCTTCTCGGATGAGGCTGTCTCCCGGGGTGGAGTGGCGTTGGCCGTCTCGTTGGACATTGCCAACACCTTCAACTCCTTACCCTGGGAGTGTACAGGGCGAGCGCTCGAATATCACCGAGTGTCGCCCTATATGCAGGAGGTTATACGGGCCTACCTGCGCGACAGGGCCGTTACATATCGGGCACGGTACGGGGTACCGATGCGGAGGGAAGTACGCTGTGGGTTTCCACAGGGGTCGGTTCTTGGCCCCATTTTGTGGAACCTCGGATACAACAGCGTACTTCGGGGCGCTCTCCTCCCGGGCCTAAAGTTAGTGTGTTACGCTGACGATACGCTCGACATGGCCCGGGGGGGATGATTGGGAAGACACGTGCCGCCTCGCAGGAATAGGGGTACAACACGTCGTCGGCAGGATTCGCGCCATGGGGCTGACGGTGGTCCTCAATAAGACCGAGGCTGTATACTTCAAGCAGCCTTGGCACAGGCCACCACCTCAGCTCCACATAGTCATCGAAGGAGTCCGTATCGAGGTACAGCCCAGCATCAAGTACCTGGGTTTGCACCTAGATTGCCAATGGGTATTTGAGGAGCACTTCCTTCGCATGGCCCCCCGCATCAAGGCAGCAGTTAAGGCTCCTTCGGGAGCCTGCTGCCGAACTTTGGGAGGCCGAGGGACGGAGTGCGCCGCCTATATATGGGGGTGGTAGGATCCATGATCCTATATGGAGCCCCCGTGTGGTCCGAACAGTTATCGGCCAGCCGCAAAAGCCTCGCAGTAGTGCGAGGCCTGCAAAGACGGCTGGCCATAAGGATCACGCGGGGGTATAAAACCACTCCCGCAGAGGCGGCGCTAGCGGTGTCAGGATCAATTCCATGGGAATTGCAGGCGGAGGCGTACGCCGCGATGTACGAGTGGCGTACCAACCTTCGCCGCGAAGGAGAAATCCTGACACCGCGTGCGAAGGAAGTGGCTAGGACCCAGTTTCGGCAGCTCGTTATCGAAAAATGGAAGGAGAGGCTGGCACATGTCAGTGCCGGCCTCAGAGCCGTCGGAGCCATCCGCCCAGTGCTAGAAGACTGGATGGATCGGCGGCCTAAGGGACTCCCGTTCAGGACGGTGCAGGTACTCACCGGGCATGGTTGTTTCGGTGAGTACCTGCATGAGAAGGCAATGCGCGAGCCGACGACGTGTTGTCACCATTGTGCGGAGGTCCGAGACACGGCGCAGCATACCCTAGAGCATTGCTCTGCATGGGATGAGCTGCGCCGTGATCTGCGGAATATTGTGGGCGATGACCTGTCGCTCCCCATCATCGTCGCCAAGACGGTGGAGAACGAAGATGCCTGGGACGCCATGGTCTCCTTATGCGAGAACGTCATTTCGCAGAAGGAGGCCGCGAAGAGGGTCAGGGAAGACGATCCCGATGCTGACCCAATCCGCAGGAGGAGGGGGGTGCACGGCGGCGCGCTTACGACCGCCAAGGCCTGTAGCACCTCCAGCAGGAAAGCCTAATCCCACCTCCTCCAGTGGCGGGCCGGGGGACGCAACAACATTGTCCCTCGGCTAGAGGCCGTGGAAGTCTTTCGCGCCTGGAGAACGCGGAAGCTCCCCCGCGACACCAAGCCCTTTCCCGGAAGGATGGACAGGGTGACCCCGTCAATTTTTCTGTAGGGGGGTGGGGTGCCAACGCACCCTGCCCCGCCCCTCACAGAGGGACCCTCCCCCATCTACAAACGGGGGGGGATCGTAGCACGACCAGGGGAGGTCGCGGACGCGTGCACGATCGATCTCGTTGCCCCCCCCGAGTGCGTGCGAGGTGGTCACTATGGAGTTTTAGTGGGTAGTCGGGACGTTTTAATTCCCGGAGTCCCACATAACCCCCCCTTACTCTCCTTGGGGGGGTATGCGTCAATGCATTTCACCCCCCAAAAAAAAAAAAGGTTAGATTGTGACCGGACGTGGGAAAGAGTTTCGAGAAATCAATCCGATCTATCAGGTTTGATCCTACCTTATTACGGTCGCCAGTCTATTTGACCTGTAGACAAGGATGATAACTTCGAGTTGACTTCGCAATCCTTCGGCTGAGAGTCGTTGATGTTCGGATCCGCCAAATGAGAACCCCTGCTGAATGCGCAGCTAATCCCCACGACGTATATCCTTTGTTGTTGTGTCACGACGCACGAGCCTTTGTTCAGCGCTGCTTGGCTGACGCAACTCTCTATCGCTTTGTGTAACCCGATCTGGGTTCACCTTACACGTGCGCACTCATTACACGCGACGGAATTTTCCGTGCGCGTCGCACTTAACACACACGCTTTTTTCGACTGATAATTCAGTCGGGAATTTCTCTCGGAATTCCTTATGCCACTCACGTCACTAATTACGTTTTCACGCGTGGACGTTAAGATCAATTAACCCGTTATTCTCTTTTTCAGGACTCTAAGACGCTTCGTCGCAGTTATGCGCTTCCAGGAGAAACGATGTTTCGCAACCACAATTACGCACGACGTTGTTCCGAGAATTTATCACGGATCGATCTCTTTTTACAGGACTAGGAAAAACACAAGGGCTTCGTTTCGCGTTTCCACGAAAACGAATAAACACTTTGGATTTATATTTAATAAATAAATTTATTAAATAAATTTTTATTAATAATAATAAAATATAATTATTATTAATTACCTAAAACACGCTCGTAAGCGTGATCTCGGTTTGCGGGTTTTACGTCATAAGATGTTCGCGACGGACTGGTCCGACTTTAGCGCTTCGATTAATCAATTCGCTGATTAACGCGTCCGCACTCGATAATGACGCTTACTATAATTATCGCGATACTTAAATATGCGCGACTAATTGTTTCGACGATACGAGAGCTTTGGAACCACGAGAACTGAATTCTATGGCCGCCCGTTCGGGAAGAGTCTCGAGACCTCCCGGCGCTGCCTTTTATAGGCCCCCACCACTCGCCAGTGGCGCGCGCGTAGGCTCCGCCTATCTCTCTATACACCGTACATACCGGGTGTATTTTCGCGGTTAACTTAATTAATATTATAAAATAAATGTTACGCCCGCATTCATAGCATATTAGCCCAACAAAATAATAATTAAAATAAATTAATAACATGATAAGAAAAGTAGCGTCTACGAGCCACAGAGGATGGTAAATGCTTGAAAAATTCTTTTTAATTGTACGCGAAATTTTAAACGAAAAACACGGCATATGCATATATTTTACTTGGTGCATTTAACCAAGATATAGATTCTCATTTTTGAGAAATTCTATACAACCCTCTTTACCTCCCTGAAGAGACGTAGACGAGAAAAATATCGGGGCGAAGTCGCTGAATCGGGAATCGAACCCGAGTCTTTCGCTTGCCGGGCGACTGATCTTACCACTGAGCTATTCAGCCCCACACCGATACTACCCTCGTCTATTTGTTTATAACTATGGACAATGAAACGCGATCATTTCAGCTAGCGCGTGAATTAAATTAAATCGAAAGGAATTAGGCTCGTTATACAGGGTGTTCAAAAAGTCCCGATACAGGGGAATAACTCGAAAAGTAAGGGTCGGACAAAGAAACTTTTCCGACAAAAGTTGTAGGGCTTACTCCGAGCTTTTATCTCGTGACCCTGAGTTTGACCTTGAGCTTGACCTTCAAGGTTATTTGAAGGTCAAAGTGTTTTTTTTTAATGGGAACCTCTATTTTTGATTGTATATTCTTATAGC